CGTCAGTGTAACATATCTCACTAATCCATCATCACCCATCTTGGAATTCCTTCTCCTAACCGGAAAACCTACTTAGTACGCATATCCTTTGTAAAATACGAACAACTCCTTTTCATCGTTGAACTACATACAAACCTCAGGTACAATCGTAACATCTTTTCCTAAATTATCATCTCCCAATAGGATTACATTATCCATCAAGTTCTCAGCATTGGTTTCCACGGATACTTCATCATCCAATACTTCCATTATTTCTTTTCCTAGGTCAAAATGAATAGGATTATGTTTAGAACAAAATATAAAGTTCACATAAACGAAATCATGTTCTTACCCATATGATATCATTACAGTGGAAGTTAAATAACATGTTATCCAGTAGCAAATATCAAATTCATACACAGGTAGTTTTACATTTCAAATTACATCTTCAATACATTTTTGATCTTACCTTTCTTAGTCATCTCTTCATCGTCACCTCCACCGAGAGATGGATGCGTTTTCACTGGAGATGAATAAGGTCGAGCAGTCAATTTCCCAGTTCGTCGGAGATGAACCAGTCGCGAAAATGGAGATGTCCTCGTTGCGGAAATTTTCCACGTCTTGGTTCTGCAACTTTATTCAATCGACATTTGGGGGGTTTCAATTTCAATAAGAATTAGCTTCAACGAAGAGGGTGGTGCTGCGGTTCTTCGTCTTAGTTGGGGAGATAGGGCGATTTGAGTTAAAGAAGTTGGGGGAGAAGGACGTGGTACGGTGCTGAACTTCTTCGTCTGGAGATTTACGACGATGTAGGTTGTTCAGGTTGGTGGAGAAGGACGTGGAGCTGCGTGAGGAGTTGCTGAACTTGAGTTGAAACGGTTGGGAGAGAGTTTGGTGGTGGTCGTGTGCGATTTGGGGGAGAAGGAGAAACGGTTGGGGGAAGAAGACGCAGAAATCTTAGGGATTTTGGGGTGTTTCTGAGGTTTGGTCCGGGTTTATTGTTTGAAAATGGGTTAGTCCAACAACTTGACTGCCACATCAGCAAATTTGAAAAACTGTAAAAAAAAGACTGTGAAAATAGGCTATACACCAAGCTTAATCATTTTTAAATCATCCAAAATCGATGCTAAAAAAATCTAGCAGCACCGATTGTTTCAACTCCAGTCCCTTGTAAAAGATGTCATCCAAAAAAGTAGGGCTGTAAGCAAAAACAGTTAAATCGGAAAATCGAACCGAAACCACGTTTTAGAAACCGTCGGTTTGGTGCCACGTGGACCCGTCAACGAAATGACTTTGAACCAAACCAAACCGGTCAAAAACGGTTTGGTTTAGGTTTGAGAATTTTAATTATGGTTTGAAACCAAACCGAACCGGCAAAAAATATATAAAATAAAAAAATAAACAACTCCTTTTCATCGTTGAACTGCATACCAACCTCAGGTACAATCGTAACATCTTTTCCTAAATTATCATCTCCCAATAGGATTACATTATCCATCAAGTTCTCAACATTGGTTTCCACGGATACTTCATCATCCAATTCTTCCATTATTTCTTTTCCTAGGTCAAAATGAATAGGATTATGTTTAGAACAAAATATAAAGTTCACATAAACGAAATCATGTTCATACCCATATAATATCATTACAGTGGAAGTTAAATAACATGTTATCCAGTAGCAAATATCAAATTCATACACAGGTAGTTTTACATTTCAAATTACATCTTCAATACATTTTCGATCTTACCTTTCTTAGTCATCTCTTCATCGTCACCTCCACCGAGAGATGGATGCGTTTTCACTGGAGATGAATAAGGTCGAGCAGCCAATTTCCCAGTTCGTCGGAGATGAACCAGTCGCGAAAACGGAGATGTCCTCGTTGCGGAAATTTTCCACGTCTTGGTTCTGCAACTTTATTCAATCGACATTTGGGGGGTTTCAATTTCAATAAGAATTAGCTTCAACGAAGAGGGTGGTGTTGCGGTTCTTCGTCTTAGTTGGGGAGATGGGGCGATTTGAGTTAAAGAAGTTGGGGGAGAAGGACGTGGTACGGTGCTGAACTTCTTCGTCTGAAGATTTACGACGATTTAGGTTGTTCAGGTTGGTGGAGAAGGATGTGGAGCTGCGTGAGGAGTTGTTGAACTTGAGTTGAAACGGTTGGGGGAGAGTTTGGTGGTGGTCGTGTGCGATTTGGGGGAGAAGGAGAAACGGTTGGGGGAAGAAGACGCAAAAATCTTAGGGATTTTGGGGTGTTTCTGAGGTTTGGTCTGGGTTTATTGTTTGAAAATGGGTTAGTCCAACAACTTGACTGCCACATCAGCAAATTTGAAAAACTGTAAAAAAAGACTATGAAAATAGGCTATACACCAAGCTTAATCATTTTTAAATCATCCAAAATCGGTGCTCAAAAAATCTAGCAGCACCGATTGTTTCAACTCCAGTCCCTTGTAAAAGATGTCATCCAAAAAAGTAGGGCTGTAAGCAAAAATCGTTAAACCGGAAAATCGAACCGAAACCACGTTTTAGAAACCGTCGATTTGATGCCACGTGGACCCGTCAACGAAATGGTTTTGAACCAAACCAAACCGTTCAAAAACGGTTTGATTTAGGTTTGAGAATTTTAATTGGGGGTTTAAAACCAAACCGGACCGCGAAAAAATATATAAAAATAAAAAAATAAAAAAAATGAAATTTTTTGAAAATTCATCCAAATATGTAAAATTCAATAGTTTTGTCATTTGTGTGTATTTTGTCAATTTATAATTTTTTATTACA